TTTGGCTTCAATATCAAGTTACTACAAATGAAAAGAGGAAGAATTTTTAAAGGCCTACATCAGGCTTTTTCACGTGCTGTCGCCGGATGCCGATACTTTCAGTCCTTTACCAACACTGCAGCTGGCAGGAGAGGGAACCTTGGCCTGCAAACAGCACTAATAAGAAGCAGTTACATACCAACAGGTCAGTGGTAATAAGGACTCGACTGGAGCCCGAGCGGAACTCCCTCATGATCAGGTCTCTCTCTTTCTGGTCCATGTCACCGTGCTGAAAAGACACAACCAAGTCTTACAACATGCACTGAAAGTTTCCACACTTGTACCAAATGTTTCAGTCACACAAAAGACAAAGAGGTTCGTACCAGAGCAGAAACTGTGAAGTCTCTGGCGTGCATCTTCTCAGTAAGCCAGTCCACTTTTCTCCTCGTGTTGATGAAGATCACAGCTTGTGTGATGGTCAAGGTTTCGTACAAGTCACACAAGGTATCCAGCTTCCATTCCTGAGGACCACCAGGTCAGACTGTTAGCACAGCAAGCTCAGCATAAACACCCTGATTACAGGGAAAGCAAGTGCACGTTTTTCACCTCTTTTTCCACATTTATGTAAAACTGGCGGATGCCCTCGAGTGTCAGCTCCTCCTTCTTCACGAGGATTCTGATAGGCTCACGCATAAACTTCTTTGTGACCTCCAAAACATCGGCTGGCATGGTGGCAGACAGTAGGACAACCTTAAAGATTAACAGAGATATCTGTCAGCTACAAGCAAAGTTCATATTTCAAGCAAGGATCTTTGACTTGGCCGTTACGGCGCTGACACCAAATTTCTAACCTGGATGTTGCTCGACAGCTTCTGGAAGATCTCGTAGATCTGATCCTTGAATCCTCGACTAAGCATCTCATCAGCCTCGTCCAACACAAACATTTTGATGTATTTAGAAGCTGCAAAAGGGGAACAACCATGTTACACATATGGGCACATAACACAGCCATACGTTTGCACACTGATACAATCGATTCATGTTGGAATAAAGATTTAGGAATCATGCGCCACTAATGAGGTTTCGGTAAAGCGTCTTCAGGTGTAAAGGTGCCGTATTCAGAAGTAATGAATGTATGATCATGCCTCTGGACCTCTGTTGTCATGAACGCTCGAGCCAGCAGAACGCCGACCAAAG